AAACCGAACGCATCTTCCCTCTTGAACAGGAAGCCAACCCAGCCACTTTCTCCGAATTTCCCCATCTATTGGCCCGAGCAATCAATTCGAATTGAGATAAAAATTCCTGCAAAGGAACACTTCCATCATATACGTCGGGCTTTAACTTTAAACCAAGACCGAGACTTAAAATTGGATTTGACTGGTCTGGTAAGGATAGTTCTTGCTCCTCGGTCTGCCGCACCGATCCTCTCTGCTCCTCCGTCTCGCGTTGCCGCTCCGTTCGCTCCTCTCTCAGAAGACGAAACTCCTCAATGGTCATTTGGAGAACCATCTCCAAGCTCGGAGTCGTTTCCGGTTCCTCCGCTCATACTCGCAAGCTCTCTTTCTGGCTGAGACAACCTGTCTCCTCGATGCTCCTTCCTGTCCCACCTCCGTCACTGTTTTCTTTCCCTTCGATTCCGCTTGATACTCCGTCATGTTCTTTTTTATTCCGATCCCGGACGAGCCCCCAAAAATGTCACACTCGCGGCGGGTTCACTCGCGTCAAGAAAGGAAGAACAGTTTGGAAAAAGAACACAAACTTATTACGCACAAAGCACAGGAGCATTAACAAGAACTTTCACAATTAATTATTATTCGTAATTTTAATCCGCGTTACGGCTCAAATTCGCGCGCCGCGCCGCCGACTCTCTCAACAACAACTTAACAATCGCTTAGCGACTGCTTGACAACCGCGTCGGCAAAGAACAATCTTCACGTTGGAAATTGGATAGCGTCGAGCGGAACATCGCTCGGTCGTAACAAATGTATATTATAATATACGTATATGTGTATCATTGATTTGTTGACGTGTTATTCTAAACATGTTATTTGCGATAAATATCATCACATGCTTATGTAGTCGAAGGGATAAGATGCCTGCCCGGTAAGCAGGAGATCCAGGTGTTCGATTCCTGGCTGAGGTATAGGTGGTATTTTTTCGAAAAGAATTACGAGTTTTCACGATTGGTTCGTGGTCGGGCTCCGCCGTGACGCACACCCTCTCTTCTTATTTTTATATAACATTCTTTTAAAACAGCTGCATCATATGAACATCCTGGTGCTTGACAGTTTATTAAATCTGAAAATTAGATCATTGAAAATTAAATATTAACTCATAAATTTTCTGATTTCTTTGTATTTTGGAATATTAATTTTTTACCTCAAAGTTGATTCCACTACATCTTGGAGTACAATAGATAGCCATCCTTTTCGATTTATGTAATCTCTGTAACTGTCAAATGAAGGTAATATAGGTATATGTGTACCATCAAGTGCTCCAATGATTTGTGGAATATTAGTTAAATCTTTGTAAAAAGATGATATTACTTTACATTCTATTTCAATGTTCTAGTTTTCAATGTTCTAGTTTCTAGTTTCATTCTAGTTCAATATCATTTCGATTGCAACTGTGAAGTGATTTGTTGGTTCGAATAAATTCCAATCTGGGAGATGAAATGAAACTTCTCGCCTGTACAGCATACAACAGTTATTGGAATAGTGAGTATCCTGGGTTTTTTAAAATAAGCATTCCTAAAACTTGTCATGATAATCTAAATATTAGGTATACAAAAAAATTCTGAGCTTTAGATTTCATACAACCGAAATAACAATTTAAATTTTATATATCTTCCTGCCCTTTGCGGTTTTAAAGCGTTGACATTTGGTCTTCTAAAATGCCATACGGCATTTGACGCACATAACCTCAAAAATCAGTAGTGTTCACAATGGCAATAACAAAAGAGCATATTTTCTTTTCATCTGAAGAAAAATGCTGCTGAAGCCACTGTAATGATTTGCTGCTTATGGAGAGAACGCTGTAAGTCATACTACATGTAAAAGATGGTATCACAAATTTCGCCAAGGAGATTTCAGTCTTGAAGATGAGCCTGCTGGACGCCCTCAAAAAATTGAAACGGACGAATTGCAAGCACTGCTGGATATAAATTCTGCGCAAACTGAAAAGGAACTTGCAGAACAGCTTGGCGTTACGCAGCAAACCATTTCCGTATGTTTACATACGATGGGAAAGGTTCAGAAGGAAGGCAGATGGGTTCCGCATGAATTGTCTGAAGACAACAAAAATCGTCAGTGTGACACTGCACTCACTTTGCTTTCAAAGTTCCGAAAAAAAGATTTTCTGCACAAAATCATTACAGGCGATGAAAAGTGGATTCTTTATGATAACCCTAAACGTAGAAAATCGTGGGTTGATCTGGTCAACTTTCGACATCGACGCCAAAGCCCAATATCCATACCAAGAAGTTTTGCTCTGTATCTGATGGGATTGAAAAGATGTGTTGTATTATGAGTTGTTACAACCGGGTGAAATCACGGCAGACTGCTACCAACAACAATTGACCAATTTGAGCGATGCATTAGAAGAAAAGAGATCATTTACTGGCCAAGGATGTCGTAAAGTGATCTTGCTTCATGACAATGCTCGACCACATGTTGCGAAAGCGACTCAGGACCATATCTTTGTGTTAGGCTGGGAACTTCCGGACGCGGCGTATAGCCCAGACATGGCGCCTTCCGATTACTACCTATTCCGGTCGCTGCAGCATCATTTATGCTGATACACATTTCATGAGATTTGAAGAGGTACGAAAATGCATTGATGACTTTATCGCTTCGAAGCCGGTGAGCTTCTATCATCAAGGAATTCGCAAGCTACTCGAAAGATGGCAAAAGGTCGTTGATGCAAATGGGGAATATTTTGCTGATTAATATTTTTTTGTTTGTTTTTGAATAAAGATTGAATTTTACAAAAAAAAGCTCAGAACTTTTTTGTACAGCTAATAACAATTGATATAATAATTTATTTTTATTCCAACAAATTTTTTATCTGTATCGAATAGTTTGCCTTATTGCAGTTTTTTACATAAAACACCGCTGCAATTTCTTTTTAAGATTTGTATAGTATACTTGATTTAAGATAAAGATTGACTAATATTGAAAAATTTAAATATTTATATACATATAGGAATATATAAATTCGAAATTATATATTCTTTGCATAAAATGGAAATTAATATTTCTTTTATAGTTTCTGACAAAAGGGTTGGATAAAATCTAGATGCAGCGTATGTGCGGTATATTGGAAGCAAGATATCTCACTATATCCTTGTAAAATTTCGTATTGTTAGCAGAACCAACCTTTTGCAAATAAATTGCTATCTGTACGCGATATCATATGGCTTTAATCAATATCATAAAATATCCGGGTTCTTTTTTTAAACTATGGTTTGCGCAACCGAAATAGTAAATCTCCAAATATTCTAATTGCAAGAAAAAAGATAATTACTTTTTAAAGAAAAATATACGTGAAATAGCGTTTACATAAAAAAACAACGTATTGGTAATTCCAAAGACTATCGTTAATATTAAAGATAATTAATTAAATCAAGTAATTAATTAAATCAAGTATTTTTGAGAAAAAGTTATTAGATATCTAAGATCCTGCCGAGGAAATTATTCGTGTCCCTTTCGATTGTTGAACATATTCTCGATTTGTTTTATATTACATATCTTTATTTAATCTTTATTTAATTTGCTACGAATATTATTGTTGTTATATATAAAACATTGTCATAATAGATATATGATACAGCAAGGGAGATTATTATGCAATTGAAAAAATGAGACAGAAGATCGTTTTTCTATCGGGTAGCCGAAGCAAAGAGCTAGTGCTAAGCACACATGATTTTTCTTCAGTGTGCGTGGTTGCCAAGTTTCTCGCGCGTCGACATCGTTGGCTGACCATGTGTATCGCTCGATCATTTCATCAGTCGACTGTCAAATGCCGAGGTGTGCATGTCTTCGCAGAGAGAAGCCTTCCATCGCCAAAAATGTAAATAAATGCATCATTTGCTCTTTCCTTTTATTAGAATATCCCATAACATGCGTGTCTAAAAGGCATTTTATAAAGGCATTCTCATAGAAAGTAATAAGTAATTTTTTTGATCTAGCGAAATGGATTTTTGTTTAATACACTGTGTTCGGACACATTCACGCGAATACATATATATCTACATGTCATTTTCTTGATATTGCTGTTGGTCATTGACTTCAATTTAGATTACTTTAGTAAAATTTAGTGCTATATAACAGAAAGAAAAAACGTTTTACAGACATTGAATCTTTTAAACATCATCAAGTCGTGTTATCTGGAATATATTTTAAAAATTATATTAACTCACCACACACATACACACACACACACTCACTCACACACACACACACACACACACACACACACACACACACACACACACATATACACACAACATACACACATTTTTAGTCATAAATATGAATAATTACATATGAACAATTTCTTTCAATTCCAATTTATCTTCAAACTTAACTTTTGTAAAGAAAAAATATAAAAATTATCCTATTAATTATTTTTACCTTTCATTATTATTATTATTACACATACAGTTACTGTACAACAGTTACTTTTTTTGTAATGGTCAATAGATTATATGAATAAATATCATATTTTATAAATTTCACGATTTATTTTGGTTATATCAAACAAAAATTTTTACAAAGAAAAAAACTAATATAAACTAATATCCCAGCGGGAGATGTTAATGGAATCGACACACATCGAATCAACATCGAATCGAAATATATATGAATGTATAAAAAATTAATATATTGATAAATGTATATATTTTTGTCAATATTAATACTTTAATCTAT